GTTGTTGTTGTTGTTGTGTTGTTGTTGTTCCCGAGTTCCCGAAGCACCGCCAACATCCTCTGATCTGCACCTGATTGTGATCTGGACTTTGCAAAATAGCACTTCCATGCTTTTCTCAGTGGGGGTCTGTTTTGGGAAACACCTCTGGCCATACATGTCTCCTATCGAAGCGTTTCCTTCTATGTAACATATGCATGTCACAGGGAAGTCCTTTCGTAGAGTCACCATGTGGATCTGAGAGTTTTGATCCATCGCCTTCCGTCGTTCCCATCGCCTTCGCATCCCAACATCTTCCGCGAAGAACAGTCTTAAATCAATCTTGGCAATCTGCCACTTTCACTGCAAAACGATGTCTTTTGAAACATAATGCAACTCCAGGCAACTCCAGGGGACATTTGGCTCTCGAATTCAAGAAAGCTCCCGTGCAGTGGCACATGCCCGCCATCTTGATGTCCAAAGGATTCCCACCGTTTTGGGTGGAGCTTGCCCCAGGCCCAGCAATTAGGTCACATCCATTCGCGTGCAGCGACGTAGCTGGCCAAACCAAACTGGGAAAATCATGGACCACCGGAGAACCGCCCAAAACCAGGTTCACCTTCTCTCGTACGCCCCGTGGGGCTCCGCACCCCGCAGCATAGGCCGCCTGAAAACTCGGCCGACAGCGGCTCGCAAGGCCGACGTCGCGGCCGGAAGGAAACCTTGGGGGCCTATGAGTTCAATCACCGATTAGGGAGCTTGATTAGGCAACCTTAGGGGTCTAGATTAAGCTTAAGGAGATGTCTATGTGTTTCACCGAGATTAAGAAGTTGAGGGAAAACCGAGGATTCAAAGCATGGGCGTTATCAATTTCTTTCATAGTCTACTACCATCTACTACCCCATCACCCCCAGGCTAGAGGAAGAGACAAAAGGAGTCCCACGGAGTGCAAATGGGTTCCACCAACCTCCAAAGGATCCCATGGCCCCTGAAACAATGGCCCCGTGGTTTCGACCATGTTTCCGCTGTTTTTGCTGTTTTTTGTTTTTATGTTTAAAGAGTCCATGTGGCTGTGAGTCAAAACCCCAATCCCCGTTCACCAGAGTAGATGGACCTCCTGTTAGGTCGTCCGTTCATGTTCTTTGGTCAACCCAGGTAGTCCGGTCTTGATTCACGCCCATGTTAATGAGCAGGAGAGTAAAATTTCACCAAGGTCTTTGGACTCCAAGACGAAGGTACTGACGAAGGTTTCTTCGCCGCCCAACGTGACGGGATTTCAGCTGACGGCAGCTGACCCTTTTTTGGCTGACACAGCGTCAAAAACGTTTATATAGAAGTGCAACAAAAGAATCTGCTTTGAGGAAATGCAAAATACAACGCAAAGGAATTCATATACAAATTTGCAAATATAATAACTATTAATAACAAATTTAATATCCATAACTGCAGCTCACCCCCCCAAACCATCCAACCGTTTCTCTGTTCGTCTCTTCTTCGCACGGGTCGGACCTGCTGGCCGGAGTACTGCCCTGCACTGTAGGCCGCCTCGACGCAAAACCGATGCAAACGACCGATCTGGGCGGGGTGAAAGCAGGTGGGTGTTTCACATGATTGATGTGTGTAATGATGTTATTGTTAAACATAGGGTCTATGAAAAACTCCGGCGACCAATACCAAAGAGAACGCGAGCAGGATGTTCTGTTACATGTTTCTGAACATGAAATGGTTTGCAAATAGATGTTCCTGTCAAGGGCAAGATCTTTCTTACACTCTGCCCTTGAACTTTGCTGCACTCCAGGACCGAAGTGCAGTCTGGAAAGCAAGAGCCATGCAGCACTCCAATCCGATGCCAGCACACGTAGAACGATGCGTATAAGTCTACCGTAACCTGCTTTAAGCGGAAGAGGATGAATTCCTTCACAAATACAGCAAATTCCTAGACAGGCTGAACAGCCCTATAGCCCATCCCATATGTCGTACCACATAAGCTCTCTCAACCTCTCTTGGTTGGTGATGCTCCATGTAATTCAGCACAATCAGTGTTCCGTCCGTCGATCCGCCTGCACCTGATCCGTCGATGAAGAGACTCGCCTGATCCGTGATCCGCTGGTTTCAGCAGTCGATCTTCGCCCCATCTTCGCCCCCGGCGCGCTGAACAATCGCGCGTCGCGCGTTAAAAGCGCCTGCTGGCTGGACACGTAAGGCTGCCCGCCATAGGGTTGCTGTCCTGGGCCGAAGGTGCAGACGGCTCAATGTGGAAGATCGGGCCAGGAATTCCTGGGGGGCCACGCACCAAGTCAAAGTGATTTGAGCATATTTGATAAGATGTCAATGTGCCTGTAGTGGCCTGCCATATGCACTAGCAGGTAGCAGGAGACCCCTGCCGTGCATTTGGACAGCAAAGGGTTCATAAAACACCAGGCCTTAGCACGAAGGGTGCATCGGTATCGGACAGTGTGGGTCCAAAAATTGAGAGCCACCCGTGTAAGGAAACATCAACCAAAACCAGTGGGTGCTGGGTCTTGTTCTTGGAGGAATGGCCCCAAATCAGGAATTCAGGTGAAGGTGGGGAAAACCACTCAAGGGTCTGGCTTTGAGAATTTGATTGAAGCTGTTCAATGATTTGCTTGCGAATTGAGACCACACATTCCACTCCCACGTGTCTTTTTTCCAAACAACTAACGAGCCGGAACTACGATCCGGAGCAAAGTCCCTCACTGTGAAGCGAACCAAACCCACCTGTTTCGTGGGGAGGTGTCCCACCGTCTGCATGGCCTTCAACCTAAAGGGCAACGGCCAAAGACCTCATTGGGCGTCATTCGAGCTGACAGTACCACCGGTCATTCTTGAATCCGGAGTTGACTGTCCTTCACGGGGGGGGCAAACCGATCGATAAAACAAAGACGGAAAAAGCGAGCTGTCGGCGAAGCAGATCTTCCAACGGTGCAAAAGGTCCGTTCAATTCTCGAAAAGCAGCCAGGCAAAAGGCAAACATGCGAAACATGAAGGCAAACATGTTGATACATGCATGCACTCATCATCACTCATCTAGCGCACCCTCTTTTCAGTGGCTTTTGAAACAAAGAAAAACGTGGCAAAACCGATGAACGCTGGCAGTGTTTCGGTGCTGGCAGTGCTGGCAGAAGATCCGGGCGTCCCGGGCCCACGTAGCTCTGCGACTGCGGGGGATATCCTGCCCGGGACCAGTTGCGGTCCAGGTGACGAGAACCGCGTAGGAAGGGAAAAAAGATAGGAAAACATGATGAAGTTGCGAGATGATAATTTGTTCAGCAAGATATTCGAGGAATTTCAGCAAATCATTCGATATGAAATAAGTTGAAATAATAGTTTTTAAAAGATAATGGACATTCGAGGAGAAACTCGAAACTGGAGTGAAGTCAAAATCCCGATTTTGCCATTCACCTCCAACATGGATCTTGAAAGACAATAAACAACTGCTGCCAATCTGCTGCCACTTTGAGAACTCTTCAACAATAGATTCATGCGGCCCTTCCAATCACTTCGCACAACCCATCTGGACAACAGAAACCTCTCTCTGCCCCGTGCCCCACCTGGCGCATGGTGCGCGGCCTTGGCAACAAGGCTTGTTGACAGTCCGAGGCTCTTCTGGGAGCGTTGATAGGTTTTCCACCCAAATGGCTGGCTGTACCACCAGATTCCTCCACCCCAAAAAGAACAGAACGACGTGGAAGATGCTGCGTTCCTCACAGATTCACATGGTATCAAAGTCAAAAAAAGAAAACACACCTGTCTCAACTTGATGGCCTACCAATCTGATGACGAGTTCCGCCCACGGGTGAACCCTTTCGAGTTGGCATACTCCTTGGCTTAGCACCTTTTTATTGTCCATATGCAAATCAGCTGCAAAAACAAAAAACAAACGAATGATGTTCGTTTCATAGAACCCCTCCAAGCACCACGTTGCTAGCAAATCTGTTGATTCTGATTTATTATATACCAGCGCCCTCCAACAGGTGCTTCCTGGTGACAACAGGTGCCCAGAAACCACTTGTTAGGGTCTCCAAACAGCCTGCTGGAGGGTGCTGGTACAAAACGCCTCCATGGCACAATCGATCAATGGAGAATCCACCAATTCACCACCTTGTGGGTTGCTGCCCCTTGATCCATCTCTTGTTTGGATCAAAGGGAATCGAAGCGAGGCCCGTGACCTCTGTATACACCGGACATCCTGCATATAAAACATGACGAGCATAGCGACGGCCTCCAACCTAGAAGAGATGGCCTCCAACCTACTACTACTACTACTACTACTACTACTACTACTACTACTACTACTAGCGATGACCTCCACCTGCATCAAAAGCATGAAACGCATCACATCACAACCAACCTTTGGGTGTATGGACATTGCCTTCCACGGATCAACACGGAAACCTGGTTCATGTTCTCCTCATGTAGACTGGACTGTTGAATTCATCTCAAAAATTATTGTAAAAGCTATACCGTCTATGCTGCCCCGACCCCACTGTAACCGACCCCACCTGCCAATGTTTCAACACCTGACAAATCCTGAAAAACCAACCCGCCAAATGACCCTCCAACTGACCACCCGCAGGCCAACCAACAACGTCCACGTCTTGTGGTTGCTGAGGGACCACTGCCGCAGCGTAGCTCGAGCCTGGATATGCCTAAGAGAGTGGCTTGAGGAGCTTCTTGAAGCAAAACAAGGGGATTCAAGGGGTATATTCTATCATAAAATTGCAGTTTCGGCCCGGGTTATCACCAGAACCAGCACACTCTTCATCCAAAATGCTGAGAAAAAGCCGTCGCAAACACACTGACACAGCACCGCTTGTCTTCATGCCCCGCCCTTTGGACGCCGAACCAAACCTCGGTTCGATCGGCTTCCTTTGGTCCCCACGCCGGTGGCGAGGCCTGGTGAGAAAGCTCGGGCGAGCGATTTTGGAAGTCGGACTGGGCAAAACTGGAGGTGTTTCTTCCTGAAAAGGCATGAAGAATCATGAAGAATAGCAATCTTGCTCATTCGTCATGCCTGGTGTGCGAGGGTGTGTGTGTTTTTCTAATCCATTGTTTGGTCGAAGGTGCGAAGAATTTTCATGTTGGGAGTTGCAAGGAAGAGTTATACCAAACGTTGACATGTCATTGAAAGTCATGAGGGGTTTGCCCTTGCCCTTGTGAGGGGTTTGGACAACGAGGCAAACCCTGAAGCTTGATCTGAGACGTTGTGCCCTGAGGCGGTGTCCCTTCTTGATTTGGGGGTGTATTACTGCTAGGAGCAAGGACGCTACTAGTAACAACGGGCATCGCTAGTAGGAGCTATTTGCTACTAGTAACAATGCTCTTGTTACATCTTGTTACTAGCTTTTTGTTCCTAGTAGTAAGGCCAGGAGCCCCTTGCTTCTTGTTACTAGTTAGAATAGGAAGCCCCATCGAGTCACCCCACATCAACGCCAACTCATCACATCGAGCAGAACCACACGCCGCGCCGTCGTTGGACGGGTGTCAATTCCCGTCGAACCGCTTCGACTTCGGAAGGATCCCCGTTCCAGGGCGAAGTGGGGTGGTCTCCTGGGGCTCGCACCTGCGCATAGCTGTTGATATCGCGGAGCAGGGGCCTCCGCCGCAAAACGGGCATCACATCACTTGGTGCACCCAGACGCTCCGTGAGTGCAAACAGCCCGACCGATTTCTCAAGGATTTGAGACCTCAAACGCCTCCAGATCAGGCTTCAGAATCGTCTGGGCAAGGTCCAACCCGAGATGATCTGAAGTTCACTCCGAAGCTGGAGATTCCGCTTGGAGCTTCAAAGATGATCGCAAAGATGATCGAGCGTGTTTTTCGGTGTTTGTCCATGGCACCAGCCCAGCTCACTGAGTGACTGAGAGGTGAAGTGAAAACAAAACAAACTTCTCTCTGTATACTCGGCTCTCCATTGGGTTCCAATTTTACCTGGATCTGGCGACCAACTCCGGTCGCATGCGGTAGCATGACAAAGTCTGGAGATAGAAATGCATGACCAGCGTCGACCAATGGTTGGAGCGTTACATCTCAGGTTCAAAGGCTCCAACCGCTCCCAACACCCAGCACTCATTACCAAGAAAAGACCGATTACAAACGGAAATACGAAGGATTTCTGCCCGTCCCCACCAAGTTGAGAAACACCTAATATGACGTCCGGACCGAAAAAAAAATACGCCAGGGCTGCAAAAGGTCGTACCGAAACGATCTGAAACGATCTGGCCACTCGGGTGTTTCTCCTCCCGGACGGTCCGCCCCCATGTGAATCGCCCCACCTCTCCCGTTCGCCTGAGTTCGACCCTTGAGAAGAGGTCAGGTCTTTAAGCATGGGTTTTTTTGGAGTTTAAATTTTGGTTCGGGCAAGAACCATGATATCTGATTCATTAAAGGTTTCTTGGATGCTTTTGGTTTGAACATGTGTTGTAAACACCTGTAAACACCATGGTTCTGCGGCTTCGGCATCTCCGTCTCGTCTCCAGTTCGACGACTCCAGTTCTGCGCTCCGAGCAGCGGTGCTTGCGCCTCAGAGCAGCCCCAAACACCGGCTGACGCGCCAAACACCGACGTCGTCAAACACCCAAAATTGGAGGAGGGCTGGTAAAAATCTGTTAAAATATACTCCGGAAGGTCCGTTCGAGCATTTTCAACATGCGGCTTTGTAGTGTAAGATTGGTAGTAAGTAGTCTTTTAGTAAAACAGCTCGGTTGTTTGGGATTCAAACCATTTAAAAAGCCAATCATGGTTGGCTCGACAACCCCATGGGTCATCCGCGACCCATGGCGGGTCCGATGTGTCGGGAGTCTTTTGGAAGCGGTCGATGTGTTCCGCTTCAGATGTGATTTTTTTCAGTGAACAGTCGAGTGATGTTTCGATTTGGGCGAATGTTTGAGATGTTTCGATTGGGGCTGCGGTCACTTTTCAGGGGCCAGAGGTGGTTTGCTATGGGTTAATGTATAGGCTGTATAGGCATATACAGCATACATGGAGGGTTTGGGTAGGCTCGAGGACTTGGTCCAGATTCCGGACCAGATCGAATCGTATCAAATATATTCGAACCCCAGAAGTCCAAAGCTGGGGTGTATGTATGCAACTGTAACCAGTACATGCATGGTCCGGGATTGGTTGGACAGCTCCTACTCTACCAGGAATTGGTGGAATTGGTCGGCATGCTGTTTATATGCTTAAAATCATAGCTTTGGCTGATTGCTGAGAATTGGAGCAAAAATGATTAAACTCAATACCTGCAAATTCTGAACACTGTGGTTCCTTGAAATGGCCGGATAGCTTCAAGATCGCAAAAATAAGACGATTAAAACGTACTGTACATCTGCATACTGTATGTCGTGCATATTGAATGAATGAATCATGTTTCTCACAAAGAAAGCACTCCCCTGCTTGGCTGACATCAGCCCTCGAGGATTTGCTGCCATTTCATGGCAGTATACGAAACTGGCAGTTGAGGAAACAACTACTATAGTTCTTATATAGTCCTTCAGTTCGTGACCGAACATGGCTCTTCCTCCCGGTTGCTTCGGTCCCTCCAGTGATCGAGGCGACAAGGTCCACTTTCTAAGGGCGCCCCAATCGACGCTCCGTTTCACGGGGGGGGGGCCCTGCTATGACCCATGGTCACCCCGCCGCGGACCCGCCGCTGTTTTCTGCGGGAAACCACGATTTGCCATGCCCAGCCCTTTGGATGTCCTGTTTCAGACCACAAAGCCTTTGCAACTCCAAAAAGCTGACATAATGACATACATAAAAGCTGGGGTGGGTTTAGATTTATGTCAACTGTCTTCCATGAAACGTCATCGTCAACTGTCCTCGTCATCGTTTCGGCTCTTGACAGAGTGGCAGATGGAAGCCCAGGAGCATCTGCTGCCTCAGCGGCAGATGGCCAATTGGCGAACCAAATATGCAGCCCAACATCGATGGAGTCCAAACGGGTCATCCCCCAAATCTACCGCGGTGGATGCTGATCGAAACAGATCGGCTTCTCCATTGATCTCTTGTTTGTTTGGACGTGTTCCGACCTTTCATCTGGTGGGTCAACCGCTGGTTCAACCTGGCCATTGGGCCGGCTCCCTCATTGGAGTCTCAACATCTAGGCCCTGTAGGCTTGCTACATACACCAGGGCAAAATCCAGAAAGGGAATTCAAGGTTCGAGCCATAAGCATTTTTACTAGTTTGTGGTTTCAACTCGACACATATGAGTCAGTGGGTTCAATCATCTCAAGGTTGAAAGTAAAAAAATGAATCTGACACCACCACCCAGTTGACCTCAGCCATCTACTTTTCTCCGGCTGCATCCCGCATGTCTTGATTGAACCTTGGGTACCTAGAGCCGCACTTCAACCCGAACCGACCTTCAAACCTGTTGAAATTGGTTTTAAGTGGATGATAGTTAGGTTGCAAGCCGATCACCATCTGAAAAGGAGCCGATGTTTCATGGGGCACACCCTATTTGGAGCTCTTTTGTTTTTTTCACCAAGTCCAAAATGATCCATCTAAGCCTGACGAAGCAAGCTGCATGGCGCCATAGAGGCCTACTTGAGGCAAGAACCAACAAGACCTCAGAGAAATTGGATCATATTGGGAATAGTTTTTTTCTTTATGCTAACGGTTCTTTTTTTATGCTGGATTTGGGTGGGTTCTTCTTTTTATGCTAACGGTCTTTTTTTTATGCTGAGGGTTTCTATTTTTATGCAAAGGGTTTCTATTTTTATGCTGAGGGTTTTTATTTTTATGCTAACGAATGTAATTGTCGCGGGGCTTTATTGGAAAATGTAATTGTCGCGGGGCTTTAGTGGAGAATGTAATTGTCGCGGGGCTTAGTGAAGAATGTAATTGTTGCGGGGCTTTATTGGAAGGGCGGCGGCTCATCTGCGCACACAGATTTGACTCATCTGCGCACACACATTTTGTTAGCACTTGCGCCTCATCTGCGCACACAGATTTGACTCATGCACGCACACAGTCCATCGGGGAGACTCAAGTGCGCACACAGGCAATTTCCCGCATGTTTGCTCACTTAAAGATGGAATGGCCACTTCCTCCTCTAAATTTTACCCCTGCCCACAAAAGGGTGAGTCAAGTTGAAATG